ACAGATAAGTGATCAGACTTGGTAAACCTCGGCATTCAGAGCAAAAATTTAAAACATTTTTCTCAGTTGTGCGTTCAAAGTAATTGTATATATTTATTGTATGGCATACTAAATAATGATTATATATGTATATATAATTATATATTTATATATACATATATACATACATATGGAGCGATATACATACATACATACATACATACATACATACATATAGAGCGATACGGACGGATGTTGTTTTAGTTACTGATATGCGCTCAGTCATTGTTCAATAATTTTTACATTTTATATTTTCTGTTTGATTGTGACCGAACAAAAAATTTTTTTTTGTTTATCGTTGTTTGTTGTTGTTGGTTGTGCTGTATTGTTTGTGTGTGTTTGTTGTTGGGTGGTGGATGTTGGTGTTTTTAATGTGCTGGTTGTGTGTTTGGTGTGTTGTTGGTGTTTGCTAATGTTTCCAATGGCAGTTGTAAGCAGTGGTTTTATTAAAAAACAGTAAAACTCAGCTTTTACAAATGAAAGCAACATTTTCAGAAAAACATTCACCAAATATTTGCGAAAAAAACGTCGCTAGCCAAATTTTGGCCACACAAACACACAATTTTGGCCTTCTATCAATTTTCCCAAATTTTGACCCCCTTCGTCAACGTAGTCTAGATCCGGCCCTGAATGATGTTGCCGTTGTTTGCTGTTGGTGCCGTTGTATGTTGTTTGTGGTCGACCTTCGTTGAAAATTTGTTTTCATTTTGCAATGAAATTTTATTATGTAACTGAATGTTTTTTAAATGTCGGTGTCTTCTATTGAATAGTTTTTTGAGTAATTCAATTACTAAAAGAAATAAAATGACATTAATTAACAAGCAAAAAGAACCTTTGAACTATCCAGTCCTTATAAACAAAACACCAGTTGAGGATTTTAAACAAAGAACAAATTATTTCAACGATTTTTAAAAAATCTATCTTTTTAATAATATTACTGATAATAAAACTTATCTACGCAAAAATCCACAATAATGCACAATTTGTTTTAGAGCCAACAAACTGTGCAGAAATTATCTTCCAATGTAAATCTTTCCCATATTTAATTCACTGGATCATTATAATACACCCAATAAAATTATCTGCCTATTATCCATTCCATCTCATCCACATTAGCCACTCTATATAACAAATCAATGGACCAAGGTTTTTTCCCAATGCTTTTAAAAGCTCAAGTCATTCCAATCCAAAAATCTGGTTCAAAATCAGAAAATTTCAAATTATAGGCCAATTAGTATTGTCCTTTTTTTCCAAATTATATGAAAAAATTATACAACATAGAATGGAAGCCTATATAAACAATTTGGATATTCTTAGTAGTAACCGATTCGGATTTAGAAAAAAATTATCAACTGAGGATACGCTCTTGAAATTTAGCAATGATATCAACTCAATCCTTAATAACTTCATGTTTGCATTGGCTGTCCTTGTAGATTTTTCTAAAGTATTTGATTTGGTTGATCACAATTTATTGATTCAAAAGATTCGATGTTGTCGATTTAAAAGAGAATGTTTTTAGCTGAGAAAGTCTTACTTAAGCTCTAGTTTCAGTACGTGGGTATAAACGGTTTAAACTCTAAGTTTTTACCTGTTGTAAGAGGCGTGCCACCAGGCAGCGTCTTCGGCCCATTACTTTTTACTCTATTTTTAAACGACATAGTGCAAATTCATGACAAAATCTATCATTTCTGCAGATGATTGCACGTTTTGTACCAATTCCACGCATGCATTTGAATTGCCCAAAGTCTTCTGCTGTGAACATTCCTGAGTCATTATACCATTTGTCTAAAATAAATAATTTAAATATCACTTTTATGAAAACAAAATATATGATTTAAACGTCCAATATATGATTTTTCTCATAACAATAAAGTATAAATTGTAAATTTGTCATTAGAGATAAATGACAATCTGTTAGAACAAGTAGATCAATTTAAACTATTGGGAGTAATCATTGATTCCAAATTTAACTTTTAAAATCAAGTTACACAAAAGATTTCAAAACACCAATTGAAAACAACAAGAGAAACAGTAGAAACTTTTGTTTTTACACTCCAGAAACTTGGAACTGCCTTCCTTCGAGTCTGAAAACGTTTAAAAGTCAAAAACTTTTTTGGTTTGTTTTTCTTAGATTGCTTTGAACTGTCTCTTTTTTTATTAGACCATTTCAATGCACATTCTTTATTTTAGTTTTTACTCTATTCTATCATAAAAATTATTATTAAAAATTATTATATTATGTATCTATGTATCTATTTCGATCTAATTATCTTAACATACATTCATTATTTTTTGTTTACGCTGACTGAACGAACAATATAATTATTATTTTAGTTGTAATTTTTGCAACAAACTACTGTTGTTTCATTTTACTTAGTTATTCTCTATATTGGTCCAATTTAACTTGGAGGACACCTAGAATGGGGCATTTATTGCTAAGGATGCTCAAATTTCATTTTTTTTATAAAATAAAATTGTTTAAAACAAATTACTGATTTCCGTAAAGTTTATTTGTCAACCAATTACAATGGGGTTAATATTTGAAAACAGTCATGAACCAATTAATCACAAATGTAACGGTCAAAAATTCTATTGAATGTTAAAAATGAGCAGTTGAGATTTGTGAGAGTGGCAAGAATCAATTGAAAACAAAAAATCAAAATAATCAGACAACTGTTGTATGCATTTTTGGGGTTTGCTTTTTGAACAAAATCATGCCTAACTTCAAATCAATTGAAAAAAAACGTACCCAGCAGATGAATAAATATAAATGAAACGGAATAAATGTACAAAACTGTGTATAATATAAATAACGTAAACATGATGTACACTAGACTTTTGTGTATTATGTACATAAACTTTGATTGAGAATAAATTATAAAATATTAATAGCATACTTTTATTTTTAAACGTTGGTTAATGTTTTGCGTAACTAATGTTTGTATAAACAAAAAACGCAGAAAATTAATGCATTGCATACTAATTTTCTCACACAAATCAAATGAATTTAATTTGTCCAAGTGCTGACTTCAAACATTAAATAATTAAATTAAATGCAATGTTTTAATATTTTATCAGGTACATAATTTGGTTAGTGGTAAAAGTACTCTTAAATGAAAATTTTTCTGAAAATAGAATAAATAATTCATTGAAACCATTTTAAAAAGTACAGACGCAAATTTACATAGGCCACACACGCTTGAAATGTTCGTGGCATTCTTTATATAAAAAATATGTTATTAGTTCATCAATTTATTGACTCAGATATTTAATAATTTTAAATGCTATAACGTAACTAAGAACATTAGTGAATTTAGAAATTAGATTTAATTAATTAATATTTAATTAATATTGATAATAACATCTGATTTTAATAATGTTAATAAATAAGAGAAACACGTTTGGCTTTTACAAAAATATACTGCTGGTTTAGAGTTCGATTTTGTCATGCGAGGCAAATCAATAAAAAAATCTATTCGGCTTGTGTGGCTGTGCATGTGCACGTAGGAGTGTGTGCGATTGTGTGTGCGTGTGTGTGAGAGAGAGATTAAATGTGTCCTTGTGTGTGTGTGTGTTTGTCGTTATTTATATGTGCGTAATTATACCATTACGAGTGCTCTTGTATTCAAATTACACCCACCGAAAACGAATTATCTAGAAAATGAAATTGCAAAAATATTAATGAATATTCAATAGGAAAATGTTAATTCAGGATGCCATTGTAAACAGTCGTAAAGACGTCATGACTGAAAATAACAACAGATGTTTTGTAACTGGTAAAAAAATTGAAATTGCGGTTGTCATAAATTTATTTTCATAATAAAATAATTTTACAAATTTGAAATTTAATTACTTAGTAAAATAAAATCTTTACTTTGTTGATTATAATAATATTGTTGAAGGTTTGACACCAAACACACTGAATCTTAACATTTGGCAAAAAATATTCCCCATATTTTCCAGAGTATTTTGCAATATAGTGAATAAATAAATGAATAGTAAATAACGTACGAATACTAAACATGTTGTACCAATCTTACAAACGATAAGAAATTTTACAAAGCAACTTACGAAATTTTAGAAAGATGAATGCAAAACGCAACGGACACAGATACACGATATTATAAATGAGAAAGAGGTGGAATCGAAGTGCCGAGTGTTGGATAAAAATCGCCTCCATGTAACGAAACAAATCTCTGGTTGTAATGCTGGTATAGACTTCTATTTGGATCAAGATATCCCCCAAAATCGGCTGGATTGCCTTGCCCGGGTAGGTACATGCTGTTGATCATGTCCACGATGTCACTGCCACCAGAGTTCATCGAGGAAAATTCTTTGGGACATCCTCGGGCGGAGTTGATGTTTTGAGGAAAAAAAGAACCTAGATGAGATGATGACGACGATAATGTGCCGGATAGGGGACTGTTGCTGTTGATGTGGTTGGTGCCGTGCTCTTGTTTCACAGAGTTTGTGTTGGTTGTATTGTTGTTGTTGTTGTTGTTGGCGCTGTGGCTGGCTTCCTTTGAGGATGAAGTTTCTGAAGAGGAACGACTCAAAAATGATGCTGAATTGCCGTAAGCAGGAAAATTATTCGAATGACCTCCGTAGACTGAAGCTACTGGCAAGAATGGGTTCGATGTGGAGTATCCGTACTGATTGGCAAGACTCGATTGGTTGTACGGTGAAAGTTGTCGATGATAATGATTGGTTGAATCACCGGAACCTCCAAAGAAATAATTACTGCTGCTTAAATAATTGTTGAATGTGGGATAAACGGTTGTTTGATCTAACGCGTTCCTTTGCATTAGCGGTTGGTTGAATGAGTTTGTTGATGGATTCGATATAATGCTATTTGAGTTGTTGGCATTGTTGCTGTACAGCGGTTGGTGATGGTGAGAATGGTGATGAGAATGATGAAGAGAATTTGCAGCGGTGCTACTCGATCCTAAAATAAATTTATTGTCTTTACGAAATGCTGGTTTGGTTTTGCGTCTGGGTCTGTATTTGTAATCAGGGTGCTCCTTCAAATGAATAGCTCGCAACCTTTTCGCTTCGTCAATGAATGGTCTTTTTTCGGAATCGGTCAGCAGTTTCCATTCGGTCCCCAGTCTTTTTGAAATTTCCGAATTGTGCATTTTTGGGTTTTCTTGAGCCATTTTTCTTCGCTGTCCTCGAGACCACACCATAAAAGCATTCATGGGACGCTTCACCCTGTCATCGTTCTTTTTGCCGTGGTTTCCTTCGTGAGAATGATGGTGATGGTGACTGCTGTTGGTGGCAGGCGTGTTAGTTGTGTTATTTCCCGCGTTGACGTTTGTTGATTGTCGTTGTTTATGCGGTTGTTGAGTTCGACATTCTCCTGGTGAGGTATGCTGGGGAGCTGTTTGTCCTTGAGGTGGTGACGATGTCAGTTGGTGCATACGATGTGTTAGAGTGTTGTTACTAGTGTTGTTACTGTTATTGTTGCTGTTGTTGTTGTGGTTGCTGCTGTTGTTTGGACTGGTGTTTTTATTGCTTGAGTTGTTTTGCGTTTGTTGCGAATGTTGATAAGCTGACGACGAGTTTGTGGATCTTCGGCTGTAGGGACCCATGTTTGAATTGCGATAATTTTGCTGGGACAACATCTGATGCTGAAATTGTTGACTAGAAGTTAACGTGTACTGATTAGACATTGGGGAAAATAACATGTTGTGTTGTTGTTGATGTTGTTTTCCAGCCGATGTCGTTTCAATGCCAAAAACGGTATTTTTTTGACCATTATTATCATTGTTGCTAACGATGGCAGGTTCGCTTTTCTCCCTTTGAATGGATGAAGACCACATTATCGCTTCAAATTTTATTGAGAATTTGCACTTTGATTACTTTTAAATATTTAATTTAAAAAAACATTTTGCACTGAACGTCATATTGTTTCAACATTTTTTTTTATCAGCGCGAACAATAATAATAACTGAGTAGTTAAGTTTGTATCCAAATTTTTTACACTGCTATCTTAAATTGCGTTTTTTGGTTTGTTTTGTTTTTTTTAAAATTATAATTGCTTTTGAGGATTAAACAATAACTTGAAGAACAACAGATTTTCAATTCTGCAAACTCCAGAGCCCCGAGTACAAAATAACACCTTTCAATGTTCTGCGTAGCTATCGACGTTCAATTACAATTTTCTATTTGCTTATTTGTCGCAATTTTCATTGAAAAGAGACAAACAGCAAATGAATCAGACATATATGTTGAATAGTTCAATTCATCCCGATCTATTGTGCTCCATTGTATTTATATGTGAGTCGCTCCTTCAACTAACCAACCAGTATAATCGTGTTAGACGCTTTTCAAATGTAAGTTAACCTATATAATACCTTGCCATATACAAACAACAATTATATATATATTATATATATATATTATGTATATATATACATATATATATATTCTCGTATATCCATTCAGTGCTTGTTGATGTTTGTGTGTGTATATATATATATATATATATATATATATATATATATATATATATATATATATATATATAAGTGTATGAATATGAACATAAAAAGTGAAGATAAAAACCGGAGAGAATGGATGCATGAGAGAAGTGTTTGCGTGCTGCTGAATGCTGGGTGGTGCCAGTGCATCCAATGGAAAGTTGTACGAGGATGTGGGCGGGTCCTTCCATTCATCCTGTCATTCAAAACTCCGCCCACGCATTCAAATTTAAATTTTGACAAACGTTATCGATTTCATATTAAAGTGAATGAAGAAATTAGTGAATGAAGAAAATACTAACACATAAACAAACAAACTGGTAAACATGCAAACAAACAAACCAGAGCAAACAAACAAACAACAAAAAACAAACAAACGCAAACATAAGCATGTTATATAGAAATAAATAATAGATGGATGCTGTCCTGTTTTCACGGCGAATAATGTTGAAAAAATGTGGAAAAGAAGGAATGAAGAAGTGTCATTGTAAAAACATTTTAATTATAATAACGAACCATCGCACTAAGCATATTTCCATCATGCAAGATTATCATTAAGCATTTATTTTACTTTCCTTTCATTTTTAAGCATCAACATTTTTTGCTCTGCATTGAAACAAAGAATAATTATTGAACTGCTTGGTAGAAACTTTGGTGGCAAACGTTTAAAAAAAACAAGAATGCTTTTTTGATAATCCGTCAACTAAATTTTGATGAATAATTTTTTAAGTACAGTTTTACATATCTTTAAGTAAAGTTTTGTTTTTTAGGCATAGTTTTAACATTGCTGACAGATACTCATCACCTTAAAGTAGAGTAAAATTGGAAATTAAAATAAAATTTAGATTTCTCTATGGATAATAACTTTTGACAGATTTTTTAAGACAACAAACTTGAGTGTTTAAAAAATTAGTCTTTTTACCGAGTGTTAATTCAATCACCTCACAACTAAGTGGCCTGAGTAAGTGTGGAAGAGAGCAACATTTTAGTTTCTTAAAAATAAATTCTTGTGTTTGAAAACAAATATTTTGAAGTTAATGGTGACATGAATATCAAGTCATATTAATGTCATTCTTTGTGATTTCAACTGCAATGCACACATTACTGCGATTTCATGCAGCACGTAGTGACGTGGACAATGCTGCTAAGGCATGTAAGACCTTCTCGCAACACATTATCGATTATTGAGACCAGAAATCCAAAACTATTTGAAATCGAGCAGTCATACCATTATATCTGTAGGAAAAATGGGTTTTTTGGTTCTTGCGATAAAATTTTTTATTTTTAAGTTATTTTAACAGCATCAATTTCAATATCACATTGTTGCGCTGTTGATGCAGTGCGTAGTGGTGGATCCAGTTACCTCTCACTCATTTGAGGAACTGTGTTGTTGCCACCGATGCAACTTAATGAGAATTTGTTTTCAAAAGTGTGTGTTAAAATGTTAACAAACTCTATGTACAAATTAGTTATTCAAACTGAACACAACAGTAAAACTAAGTTTATTTCCGTTTCTATACTATTATCATTAAATAGGCAATTTGATAATCTACAATTTTACAGATATAACCAAAGTAAATTTTGTTAAATGAAAAAGGTGGATTGGTAAAAACAAATGCATTCCCAGAGCATATGTATTTTACTTTTGAAAATATCCAGATCAAACAATATATAGATAAAAGCATGCAATTAAAAATATGTCATCAACACGTCAACCATCAAATGCCAGATATATCAAGCAACACACTAATATTTTCACAGACCACATGCCGCAGTTTAATACTAACCCAATTAGAAGAATATCGCACATCAAATTTATTTTCAAGTGATAAATTGTTGTCGTCCCTTTTAATTAAAAATCAATAGGCTTCATTATCTTGATATTCTGTAAAAATTATCACATGCTATTTCATCAGTCAATATGTAAACTCTGAATTATCGTTAGTTGAATCCTTGCATTAAAATTATTTTCACAAACATCACCATCCTCTGATCATTCTTAACAATTTAATTATTTTTTTATCATCATCATCGTCGTCGTCGTCATCATCTCATCACTTTTGTCAGCTAATCGGATGATCCTCATCACCATCATCATGAGGAACTTGCACATCCATTGAAGCATGATGGCTACAATTAACGTCACACATACAATTTATTTATCATTGAAATGTTTTGTTGTCTTAATGTGCTATACAAACACACGTACACGTACACCGATGTACAACTGACCTGCTGGCGTACAATCGGCGGAAGGCAGCAGCAACGTGCACAGAACAACCGCAGAATTAATCACATCGTCGTTCTACTCAAAATTTCGCCACGGTATAAAGTTAAACATCTGTACGCGCGAATTCCACAAATTTGTACACACACTGAAAATATACTCAAGCAAAAAATGTACACATCCCAAAACATGAACAACAGCTAATTTTTAATATGAAAGTCACAACCGAAAACCGTTGCTGCAACACAATCGCACAACAAAACATCAACAACACACACGCACAACAAAACATCAACAACACATACGCACAACAGAACATCAACAACACACACGCACGATAAAACATCAACAACACACACACACACACAACAAAACATCAACAACACACACACACAACAAAACATCAACAACACACACACACAACAAAACATCAACAACACACACACACAACAAAACATCAACAACACACACACACACAACAAAACATCAACAACACACACGCACAACAAGACATCAACAACACACACGCACGACAAAACATTTGACTAGAATCAATGACACAATCTAGTGTTTGAACGATGCCTCAACAAGACATCATCAAATCGTCAACAATATCATCATGGCTTGTCTGCAGGGTCATCATTGTTTGCTCTTCATTAGCATGCTGTTTTGTTCATATGAACGTAAACATATGTGTCTGTCGGTCTGGGTCTGATTGAAAAAAGATAAATTTCAAGATAGATGCACACAATAATATACAAACAAAATGTAATTATTCTCATCAAACCGCATCGGGACAAGTGATTGATTGTAATTCATTTGTGTGCACGCGCGTGTGTGTATGTGTGTGCGTGTTAGTGTGCATGCGTGTGTATGCATATGTTTGTGTGGGGTGGTGCTTGTGTCAAATTATAGTTTTTATTGAGTTGCCGTAATATAGTTTGTTTTTAATGAGATGCCTTAAAAGAATGTACAGTCCCAACAAGAAGGCGGTATATATATGAGACACATGCAAGACACCCTTCCAAATTCATGTGAGTGGGAAACCGTGAAAGACTGGCTAGCTGTTAAATACGAGGCAAATGAAGAAGTTGTATACAGTAAAGTTTTAATGGAGTTTTAAATTGTTTCTAACTTCAGCTAAAATTTTGTTCTAAGTTTTTAACAATTTGAAATACCTATTATCAGTTTTGTCGTTCTGGTTAACATATACTTCTTAGAAAGACTCAACGACCACTAATATTTTTGTGTGGTAGTCGCACAGTGTCGTACGAGCGACAGTCTCCGGCGTGTGGTAAGTCGTGTTGGCCTCTCCGTCCTGTTCATCGTTGGTGTTAATTGCCGGACAAACCCATTGCCACTGCATCGATGGTCACATTTAGTATAATTATATTATCATTTTCATCAAAAAAAACTTATCAGTTATTCATTTCAATGTGTCCGTTAGTTAAAAATAATGATTCAACAACAAAATAACTTTTTCCAGCTCTGTAAACAACAAAAGGACCAGCGAAGCGAGAGTTGGATCACA